AGATCGATATCGATTTAATTCGATATATATCGATATCGATATTTATAGAAAGTTTGCATCCCTAGCCACTCCTGTAAAATGACATTTTGCACCTAGGGCGTTTTTTTTCGTCATTGTTTGACTTTGAAAGGCTAAACACGGATCTGCGAGTATAATTCCGAAAGTTGATAATGTAATGGAAAAGTTGTTATATATTTTAGTGGGAAAGAAGAGTGGTTGGGGGTAGAAGCCAGGCCGCTTCACGCCGTGCCGCAGAGCATTGTCTGTTCCTCAGAGCGAGAAAGGAAGGCCCATTAAGAAGATTGTTCGCTTTTACGAGAAGTAGAAATCAATTCGTAATGCGGCCACACCAACGCTGTAAACTAACACTATGCATTATCGTAATTACACTTACCGTACTTTTACCGCCGCCGAAGAAGATGATTCGAATCGATGACTTCATTCCAACATTTTAGCTTGCCGCCCTTTAGAAAATGGCGTATCCCCGCCTAGAGAAAATAGCATTTTTTATATCTGAATTAGATTGCTTACATCTATTCTCCACGGATCATGAAGCTGATCAAAACTACAATCAAGAGTCCTGTACTATATCCTTCTGATACTCTTTACAAAAAAATTAAAATTTATTAAAAACTATATTTTTTTCATATCGATGTATACAGGGTATTCCTTAATGATATGCGAATATTTAAGGGTGTGAATCTACATGAAAAATTACTGTTAGTTTGCTCTATAAACTATGGTCCAAAAATGTTTCCTTACAAAAACTCGGTGTTGAAGTTTTAAGGGAAAAATGTAAATTAATTAATATTTTTAGGACCGCTTCAGATACTTCACTGATATTTAGTGTGTAGTGGAAGTTAATAAAGTTGCATATTTTTCAATGCAACAATAATTTTTAACTTTAACAGTGGCGTGCGTACGGGTATTGGCTTCGATATATTTTAAGAAAAAAATGGTACGCCAATGGTTTTTTGCCAAATAAAAATTATTTTTGAGTTTCTCGTTCAATTTAAAATAAGTGATCTCTCCTGAATTGTTTTTCTTCGATGCGCCATTTTTGAGTCAAAAAATAAAAACCGTTCTATTGTCTAATTTGTAAAATTAATTTAATTGGAAAAATTAAACACATTAGGGGTAATGAACAACAACAACTGACAACATAAACATAACATTAAAACGAACGAAATGATTACAAAAATTGTTGAAAATAGCCCCCATCGCTTAGTATGCATACTTCCACCCTCCTTCTATTGGAATTGCGCACTCGTTGAAATATCCCTGGAGTACAGGCATTACTTTGATTTTCCAAGGCGTGTGACCTCTTGTCAGTGGTATCTTCAAAAAATTACAGCAAATCCGCAATTTGAATCAATGCTCCTGTTCACGGACGAAGCTAATTTTTCTCGAAATGCCATTCAGAATTTCCACAATAATCATTTATGGGCAGGAGAAGATCCCTATGCCGCAACCAAAACCCATTTCCAACAAAAAATTTTTGGTTCACATATGGGCAGGAATGATTGGCAACCCACTGTATTGGCCCATTCTTCTCGCCGGGACGAATTGACGGACAGACTTTCCTCAATTTTCTTCAACAACAGTTGTCTTTGCTGCTTGATGATGTTCCGTTAGTAATAAGAAACAATATGTGGCACATGCATGTGGTGCACCACCAAACACTCCAGGGATATTTCAACGAGTGCGCAATTCCATGAGAAGGAGGGCGTAAGCATGCATACTACGTGAAGGGGGCCATTTTCAACATTTTTTGTAATCATTGCGTTGGTTTTAATGTTATGTTTATGTTTTCAGTTGTTATTGTTTATTACCCCTAATGTGTTTAATTTTTCCAATTAATTTAATAATAATTTTGCAAGTTAGACAATAAAACGGTTTTTATTTTTTTACTCAAAAATGACGCATCGAAGAAAAGCAATTCAAAATAGATCATTTGGTTTAAATTGAACGGGGAATTCAAGAATAATTTTTATTTACAAAAAACCATTGGCGTACCATTTTTTTACCCGTACGCACGCCACTGTTGAAGCTGAAAATTATTTTTGCATTGAAAAATATGCAACCTTATTAACTTTCACTACGTATCAAATATCAGTGAAATATCTGAAGCGGTTCTGAAAATAATAATTAATTTCCATTTTTTTCCTAAAACTTCAACACTCAGTTTTTGTAAGGAAACATTTTTGGACCATAACACCCTATTCGCATATCATTGAGGAACACCCTGTATAGTATACTAATACTAATCAGAACAAGAACAAAAGTGGAACTCAAAAGATTGAATATGAATATCGGACAGAAGTTCAAATTAAGGTCAAATATATGAGGCTAGGAGAAATCTTAGAGACTTAGTAGTATTATTGACAGAAAAATTATTAAAAACAGGTCCTTAGTAACCTTTAACAGAGATTCCAATGGTGGCTCCGAGTTCAACCTTGTACCTCACCTCCGTAGTCTTTTCAAGGTCAACTATTTTCAGCTGGGAATATCGGCCGTGTACTGTAGCGCTTTGGAAGTACAAATCCAAGCTTGTTAGAACTTGCTTGACTTTTTATCAATAATCCTGCTAAGCCGCTAGGAATTTCCTCCACCCTCACATATTTGACCTTTGAAGGTGACTTTTCTGTTTTTGGCGAGGGTCAAGGTCATACGCAAGGTCACCATTGAACTCCTTGTTCAATATTAGCAGCTACCAGGCATTGACATTTTTAAAAAATGCCCTGAAAAACTCCAAAGCGGTTCCTTTACTTTTGTTGCATGGCATACAAGGTGCAAGCAAAGTTGCCAATATTGGGCTGGAACACTGTCACCAATCTTGACAATTCAAAATAAGTTGTTTTCTGGTTTAACAGCACATTATAAAAAATTCGATTGACGATATCTACATAACTGTCCAGAATTATTCAAGGAATACTTAGCGGCGTCTTTTAGGGGCCTATGTCTTGCTATGGAAGCCACTCACCAACTTTTCTATAGGAACATATATTCTGGGACACCCTTTAAGATTGTAAAAATGTCTGGCCATGCTTCTGAAAGAATTTGGTACTACTAAGATACTAAAGAAATAGGTAAACAAACCGTGATATGTATAAATAGGTGAGCCACTTTTACTACTTTTTTCGGACGACTCTCATATTTTGCCATTCTTCATGAAAAATGACTTGTCGTTCTCGTAATATAGCCAAGGTTATTTTAAAAAAAAATAGTCGTACTAAGAAGAATATAACATCTATTTGAAATTTCAACACAGAAATAGTAGTGAATTGGAAACAAAATCAAATATTTTTTTAAAAATATGACATATATATCATTTTCGGTATTCATTTTTTAAATATGACAAATATATAATACAATTACATTTTTCACACCACAGAATCTTATACAGACCCACTAATTAGTAAGAATATATTATACACAGAATAAACTAAACTAACATGATGACAACAAGGGGATGAGTTTTATCCCGAATTTTGTCATAGAACGAATATAAAAGATGGACAGTAAACAAATACAGGGTGGGCCAGTGAAAACGAATTAAAGCCAATTTCTTATAAATGGCGTTCGGAAAAAAATTGCTAGTACCCCACGATTATTTTTATTTTAATGGTAAACCTTTTGCGCCTACTATCAACCTTGTCACTTTTACCCCCTTAGATGACATTAGGGGTCGTGAGATTTTTGAGCTATTTATGAGAACCTGATAAACCTAAAATATAAAATTACTAACCTTCAAAATGTTGGGCTTGCACCCTGTCAAAGTTTAGTGCTTTTGTTGCCTCAATATATCAATATTCTTTTTTTGGCAGGTATCCGATAACATGGATCATTTGCTGTCATTTATTTTATGAGAGTGATTTATGAGAAATTGGCATTGCTTCTCTTCCACTGGCCCATCCTTCACATTCATAAAAGCACATTACGAGAATAAAATAGGTAAAATCAAATCATATCACAAATATTGTTGGTTAAATATCCATCAATGTCGAACAAGGTTATTTTAATTGAGTAGCTCATAGAAATTAGTAAATGTATTCTTTCATAGATAGTCAGCTAGATACATAGATAGCTTTGACGTAAACGCTGGCATATTGGAGTTCATAAATGTGCATAAACATATCGGTCTTTATTTGTCAAAATGCAATAGTACTAAAAAAATAGGTAAAGAAATATGTACAATCCACAGTAGGCATCATATATACATAGATGATAGTAACCTGATATTAAAAATATATATAAGTCTTCTAAATTAGTATACAAACATATCTTCGGATTCATGCAGGACATAAAAGATTATGGAACAAGCTTCTATAAAATGTACATGCTAGGTACGCACAGACTCATATATAAAAGAACTAACATTTGTTTTGGCGTAAATAATCTCTGATTGACACCGTCCAGCCATAACCAATCAAGATCTTCCAAGGTTCATTGAAGAAAATGAATTAATTCGGTGTTTCTGAATATACAGAGTGTACCGAATAACATGCGTAAAGAATACAAAAAATAGTGCCTCAAGTTCCCATTGAAAAATGATTCACGAAAATAACCTCAAAGGGCGCTACTGGAAATACGATATTCTTATATAACTTTTAATTGACATTCTTTAGTTCAAAGACTTTTTACAGCATAGTAAACAGGTAAGCAGTAGGCTCCTCCACGAGAAACAACTATCTCGTTTAGTTTGCAAGGGATGGTTTAACCCTAACGATATTTCTTACATCCCGTATAATAGTGACTCAAATTCTTGTTTGAAATCGATAAGATGAGCCGTTTCAATATTGTTCCAATAAAAAACGGTCTATTTTATCGATGCCAAAAAAGAGTAGATTTTTTCAACATGAAAATATGGCTATTCAGAAATATTGATATTATGACATATTATTCTAGGACACCATGTGATACTGTGCAGGTATTGCTTATTTGCTGAACAATCAAAGAATTTCGGAACGCCCTATAGCTTGTTCCTCAGTTTCTTACAACTAGAAATCTTCAAAATGTACTATAGAAACATTGGTAGGAAGTCTACCTCTACCTTCCAAGAAAAAATCATGATGTGCAAACGGTAGTTGGATCTGTGAAGGTGGTATTTTAGTATTTTTGCGAATGAGATAAAAATTTGCCTTGTGAGCATCCATGAAAGGTTTGGCTACATTATTCTGCAAATAAGTATAATATTCAAAGGTCATCATGTAACTCACCACCATGAAAAATACCAGCTGTCTGTTATGCCGTAAAAACTTAGTGTAAGCTTCGACATCAGTTTGAACAGCATGCTTAAACTGGTTGAAATTTATGAATACCCTCTGTATTTTTTTTAATGGTAATGGAATAGCGTCCAAGGCATCAAACAATCTACGTAAGCATATTTGCCTACATATTATTCTAAGATCCCTAAGTTGCGTCGCATGTCGTACATTTTTAGACAAATTAAGTTCAAATGGATCATTTACGTCAATAAGCCTCAAGCTAAGGCTTCTCAATTGTGGGCACTTCTTAAATACATCTTCAAGAAATGATCCATCTAAGCCCTTAGGAATTTCCAGGCTCAATTTTTCCAAAGCTTCAAGTGCAGCTATTGAGGAGTATCCGCTTACAGAGCCTTTGCCCTGACAAAAATTACAATGCGAAATTTCTAGTTCTGTCAGTCTTGTCAATTTTTCTGTTATTATGCAAAATGGATGGCCACCTGATTGTCTGAGCATGTTAGTCACCGCCGGCTCACATCCGTACATTACCGGTCTCTTTATATTGTCAGTAGCAAACATGCAGCTTTGGAAATTCAGTCTCTTCAATTCTGAACTGTTGTTTAATAAAAGCAGTTCATGTGCAGCTTCGGTATACGTATATTCCGGTTCATGTTTTGTTTTACAGACTTTGTCGTCAGGGGAAAAATTCAAATCATAAAATTTGACTGTTTCAACACTCCCGCTCAAATGCATCTGTCTAGTTTCTTCAATTCCCCAAGGCGTTCTACCAAAGGATTTAAGCATCTCCCAGACATTGCTCGAGATACCCCTTGGAACAAAATCATTACTTCTGAGAGATTCTGGGATCGTCTCCTTTCTAGCAACGAAGTAGGTTACGTTAGGATTGTCAAAATATTTCTTAAAGATTGCAAACCCAGATTTTAACAACCTATCTGCACATTCAAGATAGATTTCAGTACTTGTTTTAACCACAACTTTCTTCAGAGGCCCCAAAGTATTAATACTTATCCAACCTGGGAATTCGTTCGCTTCATCTAATATCCATAGTTCCTCTAACTGTTGATACATAGAACTTACCCTTGTAGGAAGTTTGTATACATTAGGCGTCCATTTAACCTTTGGTATTCCATACGACTTGGGAATTTTCACATAAAGATACTTCAACTTTGGCATATTTATGGAAAACAGTGCTAATATTACTCCCCAGTGCTCCATATGTACAGTTAAAGACAGTTTTCTTAAGTTACCATATAGGACACCATCAGTGAGGCTCAGTTTGGTATCCAATGCATGCAGTTCTCTGAGGTTTTTCAATGATGACACTAACACCCGAAGATCTTCAGCTACGGCCCAATAAATACCGTCAATTTTTAAAGTTGTCAATATGTCATAATTTAGCATAGTGGTGATCATATGGGATATATTCATATGTTTGCAATCAAAACTCCTGGTATAATCCACGGTTTTCGGAAGCCTGGGACCTATTGCCAAGTAGCTGTACTGCGGGTACTCTAAGAAGAACCTGAACACGTCGTAGGTTGGCAGGCTCATCAAAATTTGTTCCCAGATGTCGTCTGGCAGACACCCAACTTCCATTTTTGCTTCTTCACAGATATAAATATTCCACACAGAATTCAGAAACTAACAGGCGTCTCGATATAACAACAGCGAGTAATGAAGTTGTGGCGACGATTGTTGCAAAAACAGAACCTGAGATTACCGCTAAAGCCAAACTGTTTTGCAATTTACTTTGCACTTGTTCTCTAGCTAGCAGCCCAGCTCGCGCAACTTACCGCGTCTATCCTGACGCGGATTAGTTGAATTTTTCGATTTTTTTTTTGGAACTGGTCTACTCCAAGCCACGGGCGTAGCCAGAACTACCGCCTGGGGGATCCTAACATTTGGCGGTTAAAAACACAAAACGCCTCAAGAATTAAAACTAAATTTTCCGTCATAGAGTCAAAATCGGCTGCGAAACAGCTACAAGGCAGCTACGAAACAAAGCTGGAGTGTGAACGGTGGTTCCACTAAAAGGAAGCAGATATTGAACAAAATTCTTCAGGACATGCATTAATAATAATAATAATAATATGCCTTTATTTTACCTGGCGGGTGTATCAGCTAATAGCTGCTTTTGGTACCAACCAGAGCTACATAAGTTTAACAAACATAAAAACATCACAGATATAAAAAAAATAATGATCAAGACATATAGTACTGAAAAGTGACAAATACAACATAATAGTGTGTAAAATGTGTAGACAGATTTAAATCACATACACTCACGCACTCACTGAAACAGAAATAATGAAAAAAAAAGACCACAACCAGATACTTAACGTAGAATCACAGCAGTTACAAGATGAAAGCTTAGTATAGAATAAGGTATTATCGAGAACAAATTGCTTTATTTTACCTTTAAAATTATTGTTACTCAACCTTTTCAGATCTGATGATAGACAATTATAAAGGGAAGGCGCTATGTATGAGAAGCATTTTGTGAATTGTGTTGATTATGGGGGGCATATCGAGGGTATAACCTACAAAGCGTAAGTTCCCGACTGATGCTGACTTCTAAATGAGAGTTTGCTGCTCAGAAATGCTGGATATTTGGTTAATATTGATAACAGAATCCCTTCAATCTGCATTTTTGTTGATTTAAAGAAAGCTTTCGATACAGTTAATTACAAATTATTATTAGAAGCATTGGAGAGAATTGGTTTCAGAGGAAACGCGTACTGACTGATCAAAAATTATTTGTCAAATCGCCCACAATCTGTGCAGATATCAGGATCATTTAGTAAAGAAATGTATATTAAGTGTGGTGTCCCGCAAGGAACTGTCTTAGGTCCGCTGTTATTCAATATATATTTAAATGATATTTTCCAAATTAATTGTGTTGGCAAAATAACTAGTTTTGCAGAGGATATTGCAATATTATATGAAGGCACTGACTGGCCTGATCTGAAAAATGTAATTGAAAATGATTTTATCAAAATTATTCGGTGGTTTAACAGTAGAAAATTAAGCATTAACTACTCTAAAACACATTTTTTACCATTTGGATCTTATGCTAGACATCTGCCAAATTACACAAATTTCTCCTTCAACATTAATGATCAAAAAATGCAAATTAATAGAGTGCCCAACATAAAATACCTTGGAGTGGTCTTGGATCCTCACTTACGATGGGACATCCATGTCAATTATATTTTAAAGAAAGTTAGATTTGTATCCTACTAAATTAAGTACCTTGGGAATATATTGACAGAAAAATATCTTCGAACATTATACCATGCACTGATTGAGCCTCATCTCACATATGGTATATTAGCATGGGGAGCTGCATGTTCCTCACATATCTATAATTTAGATGTTTTTCAAAAAAGTATTCTAAAAATGATATTTAAAAAACCGAAACTTTATCCCACTGAAAAATTATACGCAGATGTTCGAATGTATGATATAAGACAGCTTTATTTCTTACACAGTATCACTCACTATCATAAATTTGTAAACACCGACCAAAAAATTAAACATAATCATTATACCAGGTACAAAATTCGTGGCACAGTAGTTCCTCAACCGCATAAATCTATAATGCAGCGATCATATCTCTATTTAGCGCTCAAATTTTATGAAATTATACCTAAAGACTTAAAAGATTTACGTTTCGAAAATTGTTTCAAAAGAAATTTAAAAAAGTGGCTACATTCTATATCTAGGACTGAAATTCATAAACTCATAAATACGAACATCAACTAAATACATAATCTACTGTAGCTAATTTTTGTCCTTTTTGTCATTTGCATTCTACAGTTTCAACTTAAATTATTGGTCCATGTACAGGCGATGCCTTCTATTGGGCCTGTTTTGATTTTATATTTATTTACTCATATTGTTTGTTATCTTTGTACATTGAGTAAATAAATATTATTATTATTATTATGACCAACAAGTGTACAATCCATCTCTGACGCATCGTGAGCCAGTTGACATCCTTAATGTATCTAGTAATGTGTTCCCTTCTCGGAACACCTAATGCATACCAGATACAACTATTTTGCACTTTTTGTATCCTATAAGCTTCCGACTGTGTCAGGCATGGACCATACGCCGCATCAGCGTATTCGACTTTGCTGAGAATCAAAGAGTTACAAAGCTGGATCTTGGTTTGACTAGATAATACATGTTTATAACTGTAAATTGTCTTGAGCTTAGCATATGAATTTTGCACAACCCTGGAAACGTGATCGTGAAACGTTCATCCACTATTACTCCTAAATTTTTAACGGATTTTATATGAGGTCTCCACCTTCCAGGTGTAATTCTATCAAGTTACTATCGAAATTACTTTGTATGGACTTAATAGTTATGACAGCAGATTTGTTTGAATTGATAAGTAACCCGTGATCGTTATACCACTTTGCAACACGATCTAGATCACAAGACATTCTACTGTTTGCCTCCAGGAAATAGGAAGGACGGTAAGACAAATACAGTTGGGTATCGTCAGCGTAAGACTGAATAGAACAATATTTAATGTGACGACTTAGATGGAACGTATACAAAGTAAACAAAATTGGGCCAAGTATGGAGCCCTGCGGTACCCCCTTCAAAATCGCACGCTTATCGGACATACAGCCGCCTACATTGACTAGCTGTGACCGCTCATGGAAGTAACTCCTAAACCACGTAACAGTACTATCAGAAAATCTAAGATAATGCAGCTTAGCAAGAAGCAATTGATGATTGATAGAATCGAAAGCTTTGCTGAGATAAACTAGAATTGACGTTGTGACACAAGATTTATCCATAGCTCTGATATAGTCATGACATATGTTTATCAAAGTGGTAACCGTACTGTGACCTTTCCGAAACCCCGACTGAACATTTGGAATCAAACTGTGTTTATTTATGTGTCCTAGTATTTGCTCATAGACATGCAATGGCAGTATACTAATAGGCCTGAAATCACCAGGTGCTATCAGATCATCAATTTTTGCAAGAGGTCTAACCATAGCGGTTTTCCATAGGCTCGGCACGACACCTTTTTCTAGTGAAAAATTTGTGTTAATGCATCGATACAGTATGGAATTAGGGGAATCAAGAGATCTAATTTCAGGCCATCCAGACCCTTTGCACATGACTTAATTTTAGAAAAAATATCCAAAACCCTTTCTTTAGTAACAAGTTTAAAGCTAAACGGTTGAACTGCAGGGGAAAGATGATTTGTGTTATAGAATGTCCGTAAGTAGTTATTAACCTTATTGACGGGAATAGAGTCTATGAAATAATCATTAAGCATGTCAGGCTGTATTGAACACCGGTTATCATTTTTAGAACCATGAACGCCAAGGTTTTTGATAGCATTCCACCATTCTCGACTATTGTTGCTTTGTCTCAGTTTATATTCAATGTAAGCTTTCTTTTCCCTCCTGAAAGAGGCTGTGACAAGATTTCTAAGCTAATGGACGTGGTCCGATGATATACAAAAGAGAACTTACCGCTGGAGGTTAAAATCCTAGTAGAAAATAGACGGGGTGGACCCAAACCAAAACAACTAAACGTAAGGTACAAAATAAAAGGGAACTCTTCCATAAATTGGTGTTTGAGGCGTTAGTACCCCAAAATCTAGAAGGTAACGCAAAAACGCCCACACTCAACCAAAACCACAGCAGAAAGAAGAAGGAAATGGCGCTGGACCTTCTGCGCACACAACCCCCTAAAACAAGGTATCTTGATACGAGGGATGTCTTTCAAGTTTTGCATATAGAAACATAGTAGGCCGAGCGGATCGAACGTCAGTACTGAATCCTAACCTCACTCTTTAGTAAACTTAAATTCAAAGTTTCACAACAATTCGTGCAGTGCTCTCACTACAGTGAATTTTTAAGTGTCACCAAATCATTAGAAAAATGGAACTCAACCGAGAACATTTCCGCGCCATAATATATTACAACTTTCATTGGTATGGAGAATTCAAACGTGGACGGGTGAGTCTTAGCGACGATTCCAGGGTGGGTGCACCAAAACGGCAGTCACTCAGGAAAACGCCGATAAGATGAGATGAGATTGAGGCGTCCTTGAAGATCTCAAAGACATCAATTCAATAAATTTTAGGAAGAATTAGGAGTAAGAAAATTAGTTTCTCGTTGGATACCCCACCTGTTGACTGAAGAGCAGAAAGCAGCCAGGGTTAATTGGTGTCGAAAAAAGCTTGACCGTTTCAATTCCGGAAACTCAAAAAATGTGTACAGCATTGTTAGTGGTGATGAATCGTGGATTTACTGTTATCAACCAGAAAATAAACGACAGTCGGCTGTTTGGGTGTTCCAAGGTGAAGAAAAGCCAACAAAAGTAATCCGTTCTCGAAGTGTTTCGAAAAAGATGGTCGTGACATTTGTGTCAAAAGCGGGTCATATTGCAACAATTCCTCTTAATGAGCAAAGAACTGTTACTGCGGATTGGAATACCACGATTTTTTTTGCCAAAAGTCATCACCGAGCTTCGAAAAATCAACATCCTCCACCAAGACAATGCAAGCTCGCACATAGCCCAAAAACAAGGCAGTATTTAACGGAAGAAAACGTGGA